CGTCACAAATGGACCATGGCAATTCCTGAATCTAGTCCTTTTAGCTGGGTAGGTTTTGTTATGATGGAACTCAGGAAGTAAATGTATGCACGACATCTGGACCAGATGGAACTCGCTCTATAATCCTCTAGGAAATGAGAGAGGAAATAGGTGAGGTTCTGGCTAATGTTTTTAAAGGAGTTCTGTAAATATAGGAACTTAGCTGAAGGGCTGGAGAATGTTTGTTTTGATATTTCAGAAAATGAGTGGGACATGATCGTAAGAATTATAGACTAGTTGGCTACTGACATTAGTAATTGGAGAATTGTCTTGAGTGCATTTAAAAGATGCTGCCTATTCTCATTAAATGCTGTTTTCATATTATGTGGAGTCCTGTGGCTCAGTGGTTAGAGCACTTGCCTTGCAAGCGAGCGACCTAGGTTCGATTCCCAGGAGGGCGAAACCATGGGCAAGTTTCCTTACTCCACACACCTGATAATAAACCTTCAAGAAAAAAAATACAATAATAAATTGGTCACTTCAATCCATGTTTGTGGGACACTGCTGTGCGCAATTGGCTGCCGTGTTTCGCTCACAAATATACAGTTGATTCAGTTTACAGTATATTCTGTGAAGCGCTTTGAGACGTCTAGGAGACGTGGAAAGCACTATATCAAATGCAAGTATTATTATGTTGGTGCCATCCTAGCTCAATGGATAGCACTCTTGCTTTGGAAGTCTGAAGATTGTAGCTCCACGTTGGGACTTTGAGCTCAATTCAGGCAGACACTCAGTGCAGTGTTGGGGAGTACCTGACTGTCTGAGGTGCTATCCCTCAAAAATGAGACATTAAATCAAGTATGCCTGCTTAGTCAGGTAGATGTTAAAGATTCGATGGCCCGATTTGAAAAGAGAATGTAGTTCTCCCAGTGTTTTGGTCAACATTACCCTGCTTTAATTAGTCATTCACTTCATAGCTTTCTTGGTAAATTTGTGAAAATTGGTAGCTGCATTCGCCTACAAATTCAATCACTGCACTTTACACATAAATCCCTGTGAAGTGCTTTGAGACATTTTAACATCATGATAGGGATGCATAATAAAGATGTCCATTAGCAAAATATAGGTAAAGGAAATGAATTTGAGTACGATGCTGCCCAGCTGCCCATTTACTGAAAACATCCAATCATTGTGAAGCTTCAAGGCTAATCTCACTGGTTAAGATTACTGGTTCTCAAGGGCATTTGAGTAGTAAGTAGAAATGTTATCCTAACCTTGTATAGATTTACTGAGGCCAAATCTGGAATTTCACATGCAGTTTTGACGTCTACTTTCAAAAGCAATTGCTGTATATTAGAGAGGATCATAGGCCATCATGGATGATTCTGAGATTTGATGGACAAATGTACCTGCACATTTTTAAAATGCTGGAGAGTGGAGAATGTGGATGTAAAGACAGTTGCCTTGGACTTTGAGTTCAGTACTATAGAGGGCGTGAGATTAAAATTAACAAGCCTCAAGCAAGATTTTTAAGGATTTCTTGCCTACTGAGAACTAGAGAGTTGACAAAGGTTCAATCTCTGGATTTGTGTATAGTTGGCCAAAACCAACGAGGCAAGACTTAAGTGTTAGAATTACCCTTAGCATCCAGGATGGTTGAAGGGAAAATCAAGCAGGGTTCCTGTTCCTGATCTCCAGCTAGTAAACCCTGCTGGAAAGTGCACTTGTGATTGTTAGCTGAAGTCTGGATTCCGCTTGCTTGCGATTGCTTTCTTCTCCACACCCCATTTTAAATAGCCTGGTGATGTTTACTGTCTTGACGTACATGAAGAATAAGGACTTGAGTGAGACATTGGAAGGAAGATGAACCTGTATCCCTCTTTATACCCCTCTTCCAGAGCAGCGGTGTATGGAATTTTCAATTGTGAGACTAAAGTGGAGCCTTGTAGCTCAGTGGTTAGAGCACTCGCCTTGCAAGCGAGAGACTTGGGTTCGATTCCTGGCAGGGTGAAATCTTGGGCAAGTTTCCTTACGCCACACGCCTGATAATAATCCCTCAAGAAAAAAAACAGTAATAGTTTGGTCACTCAGTCCACGACTGTTTGTGAGACACTGCTGTACGCAATTGGCTGCTGAGTTTCGCCCACAAATAGTATACAATCAATTCACTTCACAGCATATTCTGCAGACATGTAGAAGACATGAAAAGTGCTATATCATATGCAAGGATTATTATTATTATAAAACTGTTATTAAAACATACCTTATAAAAAGCTTGTTGAATGTCTGGTGGGTATCAAATTGAGGGTTGAGATGATTGATTGCTCTGTGGGACATGATACCTCCTGAGCTGCTGGAACCATGAAAATATAATGGAAAGGAATGCAACCAGTCAGGGCAGAATAATGCAAAACGTAAGGTTTGATAGATGTTCTAAAGTTTTGCTTGATTTACCAGGAAGCGTTCCAGGGGGTGGGGGGCATGTAATCCTTGCCTTTGATATAGGGCCTTATCGTGCCTTCGAGACGTCTCATAGTGCTTCACAAAATATATTATAAAGTGAATTTTGTAGGTGAAACGCGGCAGTCAGTTGCGCACAGCAGTGTCCCACAAACCGTTGTGGATTGAGTGACCAATTGTTATTTTTTGAAGGGATTATTACCCCTAGAAACAGATTATTACACCAATCAACTAACAACTGGGTTTCTACTTACTGCTAGGTAAATGGATGCGTGTGGAGTAAGGAAACTTACTTGCTTGTCCGGGAATCAAACCCAGGTCCTCTCATTTCCGAGGCAAGTGCTCTAACCGCTAAGCTACAGTCATTACTTTCAGTGTAGTCACCCTGAATACTGTAAGTGAACACGGCAGTCAATTTGTGCACAGCAGTGTCCCACAAATGACCAGAAGGCCATCAGTATAACTGGAAATTGGTCTCCAGGACACTGGGAGAAACTTCCTTCTCTGTTCAAATAGTGCTTTGGGTTCTTTGACATCCATCAGATCAGGCAGACAGTATATTGGCACTTCCAATATTGTAAAGTTCCTCCAATTCCAAGTCTCCGATTTAGTGATTTCGCAACCGTTTGCGTAAAGGAATACTTCTGTAAATGCTCAGGTCCAACAGTTTTAGTTTCTAATTTAAAGCTATGGTTCTCCCTTGTAATGGGTTCTTTCTTTCCAGAGGCAGAGTCTTCCACTATATAACTTGTCCATTCCTTTATTTTAATTGCCTCAATCAAATCATCCGGTAACTGACTCTGCTTCAGAGATACTCAAGCATTCTGGAACAAGCAAGTTGTTATGACTGATGCCAAAAAATAATGTTGGCAACATCCATGCGGCAATCCATGCTTGCCAAAATTCTTTTAATTTTGTAAATAAATATATGTGCATTTAAACCAACAATGGGAAAAATTGCGCTTGTGCATTTAACCTTGTGGGTTACGTTTGTGTCAGTTCTTAGGGGTGAAATGTGGCCAGTGAGACATCAGAAAAATTGTTACGTAGTTTTGCCGGATCAAAGATGGAGCGTTGTACTATTTGTTCAAATTTTCATCTTGCTGTAGAAGTGAATGTAGATTTTTTTTAGGTAACAAACCATGCGTTTATTACTCACAATATGCTTTCGGATATGGTCAGAAATTGATCCTGTTCCAGAATACATAAAGGGCACAATAAATGTCAATGCTTTTTCATGTAATCGTCATTATTATTGCATCAGTCTGTGAAATGAGAATAGGAATCTCTTAACATATCAGGAGCTTCAGTGTTTTAAATCTTATAACTTGCCTTTTGAACCGATTGCACAAGCAGTGAAAACTGGACAGTTTTCCCATGTACATTGTTTAATGCATGACGAGAAGTGTCCCAATTTGCATTGTTTAATAATAAAAAAATCCTGTTCAGATATAATGTACAGCCTCTGGTATCCATTAAACACCAATCAATATGACTTTTTTTAATTGAGAGGCATTAATCACACTAGTGGCTTAAATTGCCTTGTGACAAATACAGCAATAAGAGTTGTTACCTGTACCTTTTAAAATTCTGATCTGCTCCACAATTTGTCATAATTATTGGCATTATCTTGTAATTCAAGTAATAAGACAATGTAAAATGCAGCTTTGCTTAAATGTAAAAATATTGAACAATTACAGGAGAGAGGCCAATATCTACCTGCTGTATGGCAGCATGTTTGCCTACAAAATAGTCACTACACTTCGCAGTTAAAAACCTGTGACGAACCTGAAATGTTTTGATGCTGTGATAAGGAATTATATCAGATGCAAGGATTATTATTATACTGCCCACTTATCCACAGCACGGCTGACACCAAGAAATAATGTTGGCAACATCCATGCAGCAATCCATGCTCGTCAAAATTCTTTTAACTGTGTAAACAAATGAATGTGCATTTCAACCAAGAATGGGAAAATTTGCACTTGTGCATTTAAACTAGCAGGTTATGGTTGTGTTTGGAGATCTGATACAGAATTTTAACAGAAACTTTCTGGTGGACGAAGTTTTGTTTGTCTCTTCAATATATTTTGATGGATGACGTGATATCCAAAATGCAGTGGGACCCATTGTGAACGTCAGGCTTTGGACTGCAGACAATCTTTTTATTCGTTTATAATAAAACTAGCGTTAGAAAATATTGCATCATTAAATGAGATGCTGTTTATTTATGAAATTTACCTTTGTGAACATTGCTTGTTATTTGTCAGTAATTTGCTGTATACGAGTAGCTGTGAAATTTTCTCAGTGTCGCGTTGGAGAGAAAGGGCTCCAATCTTGTTCGCTCTTATCCAAGTATATTTGGATTGATATGAACTGCCCGATTCCCCATTTTGCGTGTCTTAGCAAGGGATAACAGACATCGGTGTGGTGTTGACTTTGGTAATTTCGATAACTAGGCATTTAACTGTTGTTTCAATACGTCTTCACAGCAACTTAGCCAAGTTTGGAAATTCAGCTTTGTGCAAAACATTTTATATTCTATTGATTTCTTTGTGCAGAAACAGAAGGACAGAGATAAATTTAGGCAAAAGCCGAAAAAAAGTTTAGACTCCTCATCTACAGTTCCTTCTCTGACTGTAACAACTGAAAAGGTGAGTTGTAATAAGTATTAAAATGCAAATAGAAGGATGTATTCTGTTTGTCATGGAATAAAATAAAAAATATAAATTTACTGTCACATTTATAGTAAAATTTTAAAATATGTTCAGGTATCTTTAGCTTTATGCTACACCAAAGGGGTGATTTCCCACATGTGAGTAAATGCATCGACCATGGTGATGTGAGTTTATAATGAGATTTTCCAACTCGTTTCTGTCTTTCTATTTTTGAACAAAGAAATCAGTAAATTTCACCAAGTTTGTTAAAATACTTGTTGACCAGTACGGAATATGTACTTGCCTGTCAAGGTTAGTAAATCTTACCCACAGAATGTTCCTCCCACCCTAAAGTGAGGGAAACAACTAAACCTCAATATAGGTGATATTTATTGACTTTCCCCATAAGGCTAATCCAGTAAAACTCCAGAATCATATTCTACCTGATTATATTTTTTATCTCCCCAAAAGGCTGAACAAGAAAAACTCTGGAATAATATTCTAACTGTAAAACTCAAAACATATAACCTATTTATGGTGTTAGTACAGATTCCCTTACCCTTGTTCAGCAGGAATCCAGCCCAGATGTTTTGCAATAAGTCTCATAAGAAATGTATCCTAAATTAACATAGATAAATTGTACACATAGCCTATTAAAGAAGTACAAATTAAAAATTTAAGAGGAGTATGGTAATTTAATTTTAGTCACTTCCCAGCACTTTGCAGGATTAAGATATTTATGTTCTGCCCTAGGTGACCCCTTTATAATGTGGTCATCTAGGCCCAGTGTCTCAGGCCTCATGTTGAAAAGGAGCATATGATAAAATAGTCAGACAACTGTCTGGTTTGTTAACTGCCTTAATTTTGAAGTGTTCGGTTACTAATGGTTCTCTGTTAGCATCAAGTATCTTTCTCATTGTCTAACCATGCACTTTTATGCTCTGCATTCCGATGTGCTTATCTTTAGACCTACACAAGCCCTAGCAGTAGCTTTATGCCCGGCTCATTGAAGAGGCTGGAAGAAACCACAGCTCGATTTACAAATGTAAATTTCCAGGAAGTATCTGCTCGCCCTTCAAGTGGGAATGAAGGTTCAGAGGTCAAAGTGTTGGAGGTCAAGGGGAAGAAGACTGGAGGTCACAGTTCTGGTCAGAGGGGAAGGAAACCAGGCAATGGAAAGAATTCAGCTTGTGGGCCTGCAACAGGATCACCAAACTCTTTTCCACAAGGTATGCTTAGAGTGACTACCAGTTGTCCGAACTATTTTTGCTTTCATAATGTTAATTTATAGCCATTTATTTTGTGATGGTTGACGAGTAATTATCTTTTTTTAAAAGAAGCTGTTAGCTTTTTGAGTCATTTCTCAGTTCCACCATTGACCAGGTTTACTTCAGTTGTCAGTTTTAGTGAGTAGAAAAAGTAATAGATAACTGCTGAAGTAGCGCAAGTTTTTTGTCACCTAAATTAGCAATATAACAATATAGGACTTCAGTGCATGATTTACAGATAAACTTGTATCGGAATTGATGCACATAAATTGTAAAGCTCAGTGGTGTTACGGTAAATTCCTGATAACCTTGGCTTAATTTGTCACTTGTACTTCATGATGTCAATACCCTGGCTGCATTTGTTTATGTATTTATACGGTTGCCTAACTTGCCACTCTGGATATCTCTTCATTGAGCCCTTTTACCTCGGAATGATGACTTATCAAGTGTATAAATGTATATTGACGATTATTATGCAGAGACCTTCTACAATTTTCTGAATCTCTACGAATCCTGTTTTAAGTATTATATTCATATTGCGGTCAAAATTGCAGAATTCCTAAACTAATTCTAGTATTTAAGGAACATTGTTAAAATGCATTCTGAAATTCCCTCAGCTTCTAAATAATGGTAATCGAGCTTGGGTGAAAAGTCCAGGGTGCTACCATCTGGGAGTTCAGATAATTTTTCAATCACTAGAATCTGCCATTCCATGCTTACTTTACTTTTAATCTGTAAAGTTAAACACATCACGTCTCATGTCGGGAGGACATCTCAAAGCGCTTGACATTTTTGCCTGGGCATCCAAGGAGATTGGGAGTCAGATAGGTTGGGGAAGGGAAAGAAAATCAAAAATATAGCAGAAGAGGTATTTCTTAATGTAGGCCTTGAATGAGGGAGGGAATGAATTGGAGAGATTCAATTGGAAAATGGAGTTCCAGATAGATCCCAGAGTGGGATAGAATGGCTGAAAACATGCCCGCCTGTGGTGGAGTGGATAGAGTGGGACACTTGAAGCAGGCAAGTGTTTTCTGAGCAAAAGAAGTGTTGGGGTTGTAGGAGGACTCAAGAAATAGAATGAGGTGGAGCTGTGGAAGGAATTAAAGATGAGAATAAAGATTTTGTATTTGATTTGCTGGAGGATGGGGAGCCAAGAAAGGGAGGAGTTGAAAGGCTCACAGAGCCTGGTGCTCCTAAATCCAATCCTTTCTTCATGTTTCAACACGTGCTATGCACCATCTAGCAACTGTTTCTGAACAGTGATCTAGAGCAGGAACTTTGATAGTTATCAAGCAAATTTGAATTTCGATGTTTAGGTTTGCAACCTGCAATCTATGGGTATACACTCTACCCAGCCTTAAACCACTACACCGTCTCGGATGTGTTTAATGTTCTTTCTTATAAAAAGATTTAGAGACCATTACAATTGATTTGTGTAGCCTTGGCAGTTCTAAATATTTTGTTTTCTTGCAGGCAGTCTATTGGGAACCGCCAGTAGTGTAAAGTCACCTTCTGGCAGTTCAGTTCAATCACCACAAGAGTTTCAAAGTTTCACTGAGTCAGATCTGCGAAATGATACTTGTGTTCATCCACAGCCATCCTCAACCAGAGAGACAATTAAAGGAGAAATTGTAGAGCAAGAAGGGACCTTGATAAACATTAGTCCTTTACTGAACCTCCCATCCACGTCTTCTGGGCTTTCCCAAACAAACATTGAAAACTCAAAACATTCTGAGAACAGTCATGGAGATTATGGTGTCTCTGACGCTACTGCTATTACTTCAAGTGGAGCACCAGGCTTTAAAAGAGCACAGGCTTCAATTATGGAGGAAGAGACGATAAAAGAAAAGAAGAGAAAAGGGAGTAAAAAGTACAAGCATGGGCCTGGAAGACCAAAGGGGAGTAAAAATAAAGAAAGTATTTCCCAGCACTCAGTTTCTTCTGCCTCACCATCATCATCATCTGTGACATCAGCTGCTGGAAGTGTGGCAAGTGCAAACCTCCAGAAATCTCCATCATTACTGAGGAATGGTAGTTTACAAAATCTCAGTGTCAGCTCATCTCCAGCTGGGTCAGGTGGGTGTTTGTCAGCTTTGAATACGCAGTTTATTATATGCACGTTGCAAAATGGTTTAGCTTATTTTAACTGAATAAATGCTTTTTAAAAGAAATGAAAACAAAATTTTGATGATCAATATTGTTGCTTGCTTGGAGAAAGGAAGGTTTAACCTGTAGAAGAATTAATCTGGTACATTTGATAGTTTTACTTTCCATCTTGACTAAGCTAAACTCTCACAATCTTCTCCATATTCGCCTACTAAACGTGCAGTCATTCTACTTTGAGATGTCTTCTTGATGTGAAAAGCATTAATACCAAATGTAAGCACTATTATAATGACAAACATATTGACAGATTTCAACAATAGTTAGATTAGGGACTTTTTTTTAAAAAAACTTTTTTTCTCTACCATAATAAAATACCTGTCTTTTAAATGAAAAGTCGATTGGTGAATGATTTTCTCCATTTTAAAACAAAATCTGAACTTTTTTCGGCTTCTGGGATATCTGTGAATTGACATACCCAACTCGCATCTGTATCGAATTACGTAGTTGCTCACTCCAGCTCAAGGAGCCAGTGTAAAATATTGGTATTTTGTTTGATCCTCTCCATGGCCAAGTCTGCTTCTTCCATCTTTATAACATTGTCAGGAGGCTGATGTAGTAACACAGGTTGACAATGTTATGAAGCTTTGTGAACTCCAAGCTTAATTTCTCCAAATCCCTGCTCACCTGCTTGTCCAGTTCTACACGACCCAGATTCTCCCTTTGTCTGCTTTCACCCCAACCTTCCCAGGCTCCATGTGCTTCCTAAACTGTAACATATCAGTTTTAAGATCTTCATCCTTACCTTCAAATACTTTTACAGTCTTGCCCTACCCTCTTTGTGATCTTCTACGGTTCTACTTTCCTGTTAATGAGCAAGTCTATTTCTGCAACGTACAACATGGTCAGCATATTGGTTGGAATGTGTCTGATCTGTACAAGTGCCAAGATTTTGTAATAGTTCAATATTTGTATAGTCCTTTAGACCGTGGCCTAGTAATTGACTGAATTCAATTGGTATTTTAAGTCAAAAGATGTAACACTGCTTTGGACCCGGATCACTAGCATAATCGTGCATTAATGCACAAATACATATTTATGCCATGCATTATTTCTGAATGTTAAATGTTGGCCTGTTTCCCAGATTATTTAAAAGAGATGGAAGTATTAGATGTGAAATAAGATATCTGTAACTAGGGATCAGATGAAATTTCTATTTTATTTAAATTAAGGATCATTTCACCCAAAGCCTTACAATTAACTTTTGCCAGCATTAGCTGCTTTGAAAACGTAATTAATTGTAAACGATCAGTATGATTCATATACTTAAATTGCATCTGAAATGTTACTGAGGATAGTAAAGCTTTCAGTGAGAGTCCAAATTTCTTGGTTTAGGTTTGATTTTATCAGCACAAAAACTGAAACAGCATGCAGCTGAGGATATAAGATTATGATGGGTTAATTCAGCTGAAATAGAATCTGCAAAGATGATTTTACCTTTGAAGCAAAAGGAACAATCAAAGTAGGCTTTGGTGCTACAGGCCAATATTTAAAGAAATGCTGCAATTTCTGCTGAGTACATCATTGTAGGAATCTAAACGATTTATACGCACCAGTACATTAAACAAAAAGACGTATCCCAAATGCATTGAATGTCGAGCTGGCTGAAAACAGCAACTTGTAATTTTGTCACCTTTTTAGTGAGCTTTGTCAAGGTTCTGGCAAAGAATTTGTCAGTGTAATTTCTCCCCCACCCACTCCTGCCCAGATTGAAAGTACCTGTTTGATTTAACTATTCTGACTATTCTGTTAGACAGAATATTTATGGTGACTTGAATCTTCATGCTTCAGGAAACTTAAAATTAATTAGATGTAAGAATTCATGAATCATCAAGTTTTAATGCATTTTCTGGGTCAACAGCAGGCTAGTCTTGTATTAATGTAGTATATGGTAACTCAAGAAAGCATTGTTTCCTTCTTTACTTGAATAACACTTAAAGCAAAATGATATAAAGCACAAGGAAACTGGGCTTTTAATACGTTTTGATAAGCCATTTGCTTTGAATCTTTAGTAATTTAGGGGTGTATTATTGAATCGATAGTACAAGGATGGGGGGAAAGGGGGAGAAGAGGAGGTTAGTGGGATCTCCTTTGGGCTGAGCTGGCATCCAAGGTGACCTGGTTGGAATGCAATAATAATAATCCTTGCATTTGATATAGCGCCTTATCACCTCTTTGAGACATCTCAAAGTGTTTCACAGAATATACTGTAATGTGGATTGACTTTTTTTTGTGGGCGAAACATGGCAGCCAATTGCACACAGCAGTGTCCCACAAAGTCTGGGATTGAAGTGACCAATGTTTTTTTGAAGGAGTTACTATCCTGGAAAAGCAGTCTGCTAATTGACTAACAACCGGGTTCCTACTTACTGCTAGGTAAACAGAGGCGTTTGGAGTAAGGAAACTTGCCCAACATTTCGCCCTGCTGAGAATCGAACCTAGGTCTCTCGTTTGAGAGGCAAGTGCTCTAACTACTGAGCTACAGGACTACCCTGTAGGAATGTCGGAATCAAGACAACCTTCTGTGGTGGTCTTTGGGTGTCTGGTTCCTAAACCAGGCAGGTTATCCAAGGACCTCAAGGCACCTCTGATGACAGTCTAGCCAACCAGCCCCATCATCTGGACTTGAGGGGACATGGAGGCAGGAATGCTTTACTTTTGACTCCAGTTAACCTTACAGACGTTGTTTTCTCCTGGGCCTTGGCTGACCTTAAAATAAATTAGGTAAACAGGGTACGTCCCTCGAGGAAGAAAGTGTGCATTCCAATCCATACGAAAATTTACATGCATTGGTGGCCTACATCTGTGGAAATCTGGTTTGAGTACTCTTCAGTATTTTGATGAGTTTGAGCATGTGCCAGACACCCAGCTGACCAAACAAAAAATCAGTTTTTAAATCATGAAAACTAGGTTTGATGAGGTTTACTTGAGGAACCTTTACTGAAGCATTTTGTAGAAAAGTACTGTGTTAACTTGGATTGTCAATCTATAAAACTAACTCTCAAAATCCTTTAATTAAACTTTAATTAACTTTAATTAAACTCCATCATTTGAAGAGCGCAGAACCGACTCGTGAGGAACAGTGTCTTTTGCTTTCTACTCAGCCGCTTTCCCAAGAGTCATTTTATCTAGAGCAGGGTTTTTTCAACCCGTGGGTTACGACCCCAAATTAGGTCGCTAGAATGCGCCAAAGGGTTGCGAACAGATTTTGAAAAATTTTGCATTTTGTGTTTTTTTAAAAAAATAAACGAATGCTACACTGCGTATTAATGATGTACAGGAGCTTCTGCTGCAAGAACCGCAGGCTCTAAAATCTCGACCTTCCACAACAATTGATGATTGTAATGGCCGGTCCGCCACTTGTCTTGGCCAGCTGATAATTACAAAGGCCATCAGTTGAATTATACGAACTGCCCGTAGGGGTTGTATGAGAACAACAACGCAAGGTAGTGTCCCAGAGTGCTTCTCAGTGGCGGACCACGATGCCGAGAACATTGAGAATTTAGATTCTGAGGTTCTTGCGGTTATGTAATGGGTATTTACACTGGAGCGTGTGCCAGTGATTAGCCATCAAATGCAACCTTTCATCATTTGACTGCAAGAGTTTGGAGTATTAGTCAGAGAAGCAAGTCTTGTAATCAGTGAAAATAGACTATGTTGAGTATGACTTTGAATTGCGCTGCCTGGAATTGCACCAAATGTTGATAAAACCCATCAAAAAGAAAGCAAGCTCATACTTAAGTACTATATTTTAATATTTGCGGCATTTATGTGCTTATGTGCATATTATGTTGTGGGTAAGAAATATTTACTCAGCTAGATTTTTTTTGTGCTAAAGCTATTTGCTTTTGTGGACCAAACTCAAATATAAAATATTTGTTAGTTTGGTACTGTACTCTAGATTTCTTAAAAGTTATCCTTGAAACGAAATTCCCTTCACTCTTATTTTGATTGCTTCCTTTTTTTCCCCCAAGAAGAAATGTGCTTCTTGAGGGAGGGACAAGTGGCTTTGTTTATTTGATCATAATGAAGGCCTTGTAGTGCCTTGAATGAGACAACCTTAATCAATGCTTGCGTAGGCATTGGAATTAATGACCCTGGGTTTGAGTTCTGGCTCAGACTCAAATCGTTAAGGAATTCCTTCATCCATCACGTGGCCTTAGACGTACCCTCTTTGGACGTGTGCTGGTGTTTCCTAGGTTTCAGTAAGATCTACAGTGTTCACATTTTTGCACTTGTCAAAGACCTGTTGTTCAATATCTTTTAACGCCTGTTTGTACTGTTCGGGAGGAAGAGTCAGAAAACATTCAAGACTAGGTGTTCTAGCATGGGCCTGCCGGGTCTTTGGTGCCTGAAAAACAACCAAAGGGCAACTTGAAACCGGATAAGAAAATGTCACAGTTAAAATTCCATGTGATGAAAAACATATATTGCTGTTATGCAGGTTTAATAAAAAAAACTTCCAATTTATATTAGCACTTTTCACGTTGGGAAGATGCCTCAAAGTACTCTCAGGATTTACTGTAAAGTGTAGAGACTGTTGTGTGTTGGCTAAAGTGGCAGTCAACTTGAGTACAGCAATGCCCCCAAATACTCAGGAATTTTATTGGAGCATTGTTGACCAGGACACAGAGAGAAACTCCTTTCTCTTTTTGAATAGTGCTAAGAGATCTTTAATCTCTCTTAAAGGCATATCGGACCTCTGTTTAACATCTCATCTGAAGGACAGCAATGTATTAGGAATGGCAGCTTAGACATTAATTCAAAGTGCAGAGGTGGGCTTGAACCCACAATCTTTTGACTCTGAGATGAAAGTTCTGCCAACTGAACCAAGCTGCCCCGAATCTATCTTAATTTTTTTCAAGAAGATGAAGATTTGTGTCTGAATTTTGAATCTAAATAACTTTCAATTGTGCATTTACTTAGTGAATACTTGAGAGGAGCAAGACAGTACATTGGTGCAGAATTTTAAACTGAAATGTATCCAACCTATTTTTCTATTCTACTCAGGAATTTATACAAGTAATGAATTGCCAGTTTCACTGCAGAATGCAGCACCAGGGACAAGCTGCAGCACTCCCATTTCCGGTTCTATTTTACCAACACAGAACACAACTCATTCACAACAGATGAATGCATCCCCAGTAGCCACTGTTTCTGCTTCAACTACTGTTACTGCAACCCAGGTAAGACAGTTCACCATGGTCTATTGGTTTAGTGGACCTTTGGTATGGCCAAGGAGAAAGCCATTTGAATTTTTTTAAGATGTTCTGTACTGAGTTAGATGATCCCGGTTGGGATACAATTGCCCTCATCCACCCCTGTCTTAGTCTATGTAAAGAAAAACATTGGGCAGAGAGTTCTTGCTCCTCACTGCTGTTTAGTGAGCACCCCACCCCCTTCTGGAAAATGAGCCGATGTGAAGATTGGACAAGAACAGGAATTGGTCTTATCTATAATTTCTTCCCAAATCGCCTGTTAACACTCACTGTGTTGTTGCCTCTTTAATATTTACGTGCTGCTCGGGGATAATATCTGACTTCTCTCATCTCCAACTTTTTCTATTCCCCCTCCAACTCTCTCCCCCATTCTCTGACCCCCACATCCCCCCTCCGACTTCCCACCTCCCCCTCCTCTCTCCGAATCCACTCCTCTTCTCTCCTGACTCCCCTCCCCCTCTCTCCGACTCCCCTTCTCCTTTTGCTCTTGGTTCTCTCACCCCCTTCGCTCACTCTCTTGTGCTCTCTCTGTGGCTCCCTCTCATTACGACCTCTCTCTGTCTCTCCCTTCCTTCTCCGTCCCTCTTTCTCTTTGCCCCACCTTCTCCCTCCCCCTCTCTCCCTCTTTTTCTCTGTAGTGCATGTGTGTTTGTCTCTCTCTCTTTGGGCCCCTACGCCCTCCCTCTCTCTTTCTCTGTGAGCTCTTTCTCCCCCTCCCATCCTCTCTCTGTGGGGCCTCCTCTTCCCCCCCTTTGGGGCCTCCCCTCTCTCCCAAAGGCCCCCGCCCCCCTCCTGTGGGGCTCCACAGCCATGTCCTCATCTGTAACAAACTCCGCACCCCTACAACACCCCAGGCCTTGCCATACTGCATTGATGCAGAACTAATTCTCACACTCGTCCACAAATCACTTCATACCCTAGCTCCCTCCATATATTTCCAACCTGCTCATATCTCACTCTACCGGCCCCTTTCGCTCGTTGGTTCAGGCCTTCTAAAAACAATCAGAATTTATAGTTTCTAATTGAAAATGAGATAATTGACTATTAAGTAAATGTCTCATATAACTCTTAAGATTATCAGATCGTCGAGCAACAGGTATTTAATATGTAAATTGTGTTTGTTCTGTACAGTTCTATGATAAATTAAAGCAAGCCTAAATTGATTGAAAATATTTTTGGTAACTTATTCTGCTGTGTTGAAAATACTATTGAAAGTTGCTGCTGTTAAACTTTTCTTTCAACCTGAAGTCAATGTATACTCTTTATGCACAGTTTTGCTGATTAGGTTTGATTAAAAGTGTATTTCATCAGTTTACAAACCTAAAATATCTGGTTGGGATTTGCACTTTGATGATTGTATGAAATAAATTGGGGATATATAATCAGTAACCATGTAATTTGGTTTGTTTCAATGATGTGACATAATATTGATCATGAATTAAGTTTTAACTAAGTAATGGACAACTTCACATTTGGAAATCCAAGCTGCCCACATAGCAGTTCCATTTACCTCAAAAAGAAATTAGTAAAGCCTTTTGCATTTTAGGCCTTACTTTTAAGTATACTAGAAAACTGTAATATTGCCATTGCAGCTTTTTGGAGCCCATTAAGTGGCACACTATTTTTCAATTGTTTAGTTTGGCACTAAGTATTTGTAATCCCTATTTAATGGTAGACATTCATTATTGATTATTAGGTGTGCTTTTAAAGTGGCATGAGTATGAGACCAAAGTTTTTTTAATCTTTAATTTATAACCTATGAAATTATTAGAAACTCAATTAATAATGGGTATTTTCTTGTCAAAAACGATTGATGCAAATAAAGCTAATGAAAGAAAGTTTTAAGTAATGCCTGCACATAAATATGATGCAGCTTATTGTCTGGTTTTTCGTGTGATTGTTGAAGTGAGGTTCTCAAAAGATTGAAGCAAAAAATGTCTTACACTTCATGGTCATGCTTTTCTTCTGGGAGTGAAAGGAATTTATAGCTGCAGGGAAAATTCTTTTACAACATGTGACTTGATTGAAAGAACAAAAGAACTATAGTTGTTAAAAACTTAATCTAAATTTTCTTCCAGTCGAAATGTACATTTTTTCTGTTTTACTTTAGCAGTTTCTTTCTATACAATGAACCTACATAACTAAAGCAGTTTCAGCCATTGTGAGATGCCACATCACTTTGACTTGCAGTAAAAGCTTGATGTGGTGCTGGTTTAGCTTGGCTTATCTTGTGCTGCTGTAGCAACCATCAGTCTCTAGGCAACTGAAACACATTGACCTCTTCATTGAACTGAGTGTAGCAGTACTTCAATTTAGCTGCTAGAGACAATACTGATGGTGTTGAATGTGGATGGCATGCTGTCAGATGCATGGTCAGGTTTTTACTTGCATTCCAATTTCATCTTGGTCAGTGTTGGGAAGCAAATGTTCATTGCATGGGCAAAATATATATAATATCCAGTATTTACTGTCACAAAATCGATTAAACATGGGGCTTAAAGTTTAAAGCGGAACATATGAAGTACTCGAGTTATGCAACTACTTTAGTCCTTGATAGATATTAAATGTAATGTATCAAAGGAAAATACAGAACTGTAGCAAAACTGATTATCTTTAATATTTTCACAATATTTATTTCTGTTTATGAAATGGATCGAAAGAGCTAGTTTGGAAAGCCAACGGGGTTTGGAAACTCAAAATGTTAACTAATTCAGTCAGTTTGAGTATTAAGATTTTGGCTCTTTCTGTAGGAAAAAATACTATGAACAGAATAAATAACCTGAAAATTGTATCCTTAGAAAGCATTTTGGAGAGGCTGATAGTTGGAATTGGTTTAAATTTATTTGTCCCTGATTGTTTAATTATGTATTTTGTCAACTAAATGTTGTAGTCCAAGGAAGAAATTGGAGCAATACCAACAAAAACTTTCATTCGCATAGAACCCTTCCTGCAGGGTAGGGTCTTGGAGCGGTTAAATAATGATGGTGTAGAGTCTTCATTTTAATAGTGTCAATTTAATAAAAATTGAAATGTTATATAAATATCAAAATAATTGAAATGTGAACTTGCAGCAAGCCATTCCTTTGCCATTTCATTAACATCATGTATATTAAATCTAGGGATTTACTACTACCATTGGTAGCTTTGCCTCTGAGTCAGAAGGTTGTGGGTTCAATCCCCATGTCGGGACTTGGAATTGCATAGTCTAAGCCAGGGTGGTCCAACTGGTGGCCTGGGGGATGATTTCATCCTCTGAACCATTTCCAATTTCATTATCCCAACGAGCAAACGCAGACCATGCGAAGGCCCCAAGCCAATCTGGTGATGGTCATCAGGGACTTGGGTTTTGCCTGACAACGGACTGTCCAATCAGGATAAAATATTGCTTATGTAGACCCCGAATGTTTCTCAAATCTGGCCCCCAACAGGCAAAGGTTAAACCCCCCTGGTCTAAGATAACATTCCAGTGCATTGCTTGGGGGTGTTACATTGTCGGAGGTGCTCAGCTTCAGATGAGATGTTAAAACCCAGGTCCCGTCTGCCTGTTCAGGTAGACGTTAAAGATCTCTTGGTACTATTTGTAAACAATACGTAGTTTCTCCTGGTGTTCTGGCCAACAATCCCCCAAATAAAAATTGTGGGCAATGCTGCCCGCAACCTTTGAGATGTCTGGATGACATAAGACACTATATCAAATGCAAGGATTGATTAAAAGATTTGTAAAAGGAATCTGATATAGGAGTTATTAAGATCCAAATTCTGGAAATATTTGCATTTGATTAAATGCAATTGGGAAGGGACTGAACAATTGCACGTTCAATAAAACAGTATAATAATAATACTTATATTTGATATAGTGCTTTATCATGTCTTCAAGATGTCTAAAAGCGCTTCACAGAATATACTGTAACATGGATACTGTGACTATATTTTGGCCAAAACGTTTGACAGTTATTAGAGATATGAAACAGATGTGTGGATAGGAATTCTTTGTGGGGGAAGATGTTAGGTGCTATTAGTGCAGAAGCTAGAGAAATTTTGTGTGAAAATATATACAGGAGTCTTGAGTATGAATCTGGTAAAATGATTTGTTTCATTCACCGTCACTACATTCAGTGCTTTGTATTTATTTGCCTTGTAACTTTATAATATTTTTATAAGCGAGTACCCTGGTATTGGATGCAATTCCTTAAGTACTTTCATTTTCACTTTCACTTGTAATCCATTTTTATTTTGTGAAGTGCTAAAATGTTTTTTGTGGCAAAGACAATAAAAATGCAAGTTATAATTTGATGTTTGTGTAACAACAACAGCTTCCATTTATATAACACCCTTCATGTGGGGCGGCATCTCGGAGTGGTTAAAGCAAAATAAAATATATTTTCAGATGTCTGGTCGACCGACCTAAGATGCTATATCCAATGCAAGGATTGATTAAAAGATTTATAGAAGGAATCTGATATAGGAGCAATTGAGATCCAAATTCTGGTATTCTTTGCATTTCTCCAATTGTGAAAAGTTTTGATGTTTCAGTGTTGTTGGGGCGATATCAAATAAACAGAGTATTTATAGTGTTAGTAAGTGGGATGGTTGTCACAAGTTACTATTGAGGCTGAAAAACTACATTTAAAAATGAATTGTATTCATTTTTGAAGAGAGAATATAAAACTGCTTTAGAGAAAGAGCAGGGAATTTACTAATAATAATCCTTGCATTTGATATGGAGCACCATCAAGTCTTTGAGACATCTCAAAGCACTTCTCAGAATATACTGTGAAGCGAATTGACTGTATGTTTTGCGGGAGAAACACAGCAGCCAATTGCGCACAACAGTATCCCAGAAACAGTCGTGGATTGACAGACCAATTTTTTTTAAAAAAAGGGCTATCACCCCCAGAAAATCAATCTGCCAATCGACTAATGACTGGGTTCCTATTTACTGCTAAGTAAACAGAGGCATGTGGAGA